TTTTACAAAGATTCACCCGTTTTCCTTGTGTGTGTTAAGTTCTCACTGAATATGGAAAACTCAATAACACCAACAACAGTTAACTCTCAACGCAGATAAGTCAGTTCACAAAGGCAGTGTATCAACTAATAAGAGAACAGTTGGTTTACGATTGGTCGATGAGACTCAAGGACGAAATTATGCGATAAAATCACTAGTTACTTATGAATAATATATCTATAATAATTGAATTTCACGGTATTTCTGTCATATAATAATATGAATCGAAATTTTTATTTCCTGAATGAAGGTTAAAGAAACCCTAAAAATAAAGGATATCTGGGGAGTTTTTTGTCACCCTCAAAATGCTGTTATACTCTAATCATGATGAGAAAGTGCTTTGCACACACGAGAACTTGCAATTTTAATGTGCAACGAAGCGTGAAAAGAGCTTATAAGATGAGAATCTCTCGGATCGAAACTAAGTGAAAAATGCTTCAAGATAAAGAAAGAGGCGATTACAATGAATGCCATCCAATGCTCTGCCCCCACCAATGATGACAACGAAAACGATAAAGATCACTTTTATGAAAGGCTGCAATCATTCTTAGAGAAATACATACAACCTCACCATCGCAACGGTACACCTAAACACTAATATCGGAATAGACAGCATGGTATATGAAAGCATCATGGGAAAACAAGGACTGGGAGAAAGGAACGAAAATGGTATATGATTTGTAAATCTATGTGCCTTCAACGAAATGGTTATAGGTGGCGTCATTTTTCATCACAAATGCATATATAGAGTTACATGGGTTTTAACCCGGACCATAGTAGACAAAAATAGATTGACTATATCAGCATCAGTAAAAAGTTCAAAATGACCATGGAGGATGTTGGGACATAGAGAAGAGTTGATATAACTTTCAGGTCGCCATCTGATGGTGACAATGATGAAACTGAAGTTACAGAAGCACTAGACAACTGGGCAAATAAATTCACGATTGCTCTTGGCAATAAGTTCCAAGCCTTGCGCAGTCTACTAAAAGGAGAGGAAACTACCATTGAGAGCAACTGAATAGGGACTAAATAAACATTAATTTAAACATGTCATGATGTTTCAGGCCACGTGAAGCACCATCACAAGGAATAGATCACTGTTGATGCACTGAATAAGATTCACGAAAAGAAGACAGCAATCAGTAACACCTGGACTCGAGCACAGAAAGCAAAGACACAGGCCGAATACACAAGTGAACAATCAAGCGAAGAGGGGCATTAAAACTGACAAACACAAATATGTGTTTGATGTAGCAATGATAGCGGAGAAAGCTGCAGGAGAAGGAAACACAAGATTACTATATGATACAATAAGGCTCTCTATAAATTATAGTAAACCAGAATGACGTTTCAGGAACAAACAGGGGAAATCAATCTCCAACATAAGAGAAGGGCGAAACAAGTAGGTAGAGCACTTTGACGAACTTGAATAGACCAGCACCCATGGACTTTCCAATTGATGTTGACCCACCAACAATTGAAGAAATCGGCATGGCCATCAGGCAAGTCAAGAGCGGTAAAGAAGCAGGGCCAGACAACATACCAGCTGAGGTATTGAAAGCAGACGAAGCAGTAAGTGCAAGGATGTCCGACGCTCTGTTGAGCAAGATTCGGGAAGAAGAACAAGTGCCAACCTAATGGAAAAAGGACACCTTATCAAGTTACCAAAGAAGGGAGATCTTAGCAAGTGTGAGAACTGCAAACGAATCACATTACTTCCAGTACTAGGAAAAGCCTTCAACAATTGTTAAACAGTGTAAAAGACTCAGCAGACACCCAACTTCGAGATCAGCAGGCTGAATTCCGTAAGGATCAATTATATACCTACCAAATCGCGACGCTACGGATCATTATGGGACAATCAATTGAATGGAACTCATCATTATACATCAGCTTGTTTGATTATGAGAAAGCATTTGACAGCGTGAATAGGAAAACCTTGTAGAGAATCTTCTTCGACATTGTCACTATTGTACAGAACTCTTATGACAAACTACACTGCAATGTTGTGCAGTGTTGTTGTGTTTTTTATCGTATATAAAAGTCCCATAATTTGAATATAAAAATGAAATGGTTAATTATTAAGAAAGCTTTCTCTTGCTCTAAATTCACACAATTTATCTTTATGAGAGCTGTCACCTATTGTGCATATGCAAAATTTACACGAATATCATTTGTTTTAATCAGATATAGAAAATTTTTTGTCCAAAGTAGAAAATCATTTTAATCTTTTCACTAGAATATTATCGTGATCGTACCATTAATGATTGTATGTTGTAATTAATTACAATATAAAGATGTAATCACTTACTTACTTACACCTATCACCCCCAATGGAACATAGGCTGCCGACCAGTATTCTCAAACGTACTCTGTCCTGAGTTCCTATTTCCAATTCTGTCCAATTTTCGCTCATTCTTCTCATATCCTTCTCGTTTTTTCGGCGTAATGTGTTCCATGGCCTTCCCATTTTCCTCTGATCTTGAGGATTCCAAGTGAGGGCTTGTCTTGTGACTCAGTTGGGATAAAGATGTAATAGTGAAAATAAACTTTTTTTCTTCTTAAAATATTAACAAGTAACTAGTTTCATTGTGCTTTTTAATTGTTTTCATTGTATTAAATAATTTCAATCATCTTCATCATCATCAGCCTCGCCATCATTTATGTCCATATGAAATGCTTTAAATGACCAATGTATTTTTTTCTCAAACAATTCATAAACTCCATTCATATCGGTATTGGTTAGGTTATATAATATTCTATTCTGATTCAATAAATTTATATATTCAGATAATTTTTAAAGATTATTTATAACATATGTGTATTTAGTTGTACTGGGGTTCCATTGTTTGTTTGCAGATGCCGAGTGACTTAGGGTGTATACGTTAAAGTATTGATTATTACTGACTTATAATTCTCGCTTTATTATAATCCAGCTATTCTTAATGCTTAGTATTCTTGGACACCAATTTACTCGAAACGTTCTCCCAAATCAGAACACAGTTGAACAGGAAATAGATTATATTCCAATAACAAGGTTAGATGGAAGTCAGAAGATCAAAAGGAAAAGACGTTAGTATGTTTATAGTTTTCTTACATGAGAGGACTCTATAATGTTCCCCAATTATCAACGAAAGAGCCAATCAGCGTGCAGCAACGCAATCATGCTTTAATCCAATCTATATCTCGCTAACACCGACATTATAAATTATACAATCGCACTTATGTTTTAATATTTTTTTTTTATTATTTTACACATTCTATTATTTTAGTAGTGTCTAAATTTGGAATTTCATATATTATTATTTACTTACACAAGCAGAACTGTGATTCATTGAATTGTGACATGGAAATGTTTTTCACGTCTCTAGGTTCATGCCGCTAGTGATATATTACTCTTAAGTTTCAACAACATTGAAGAATAGCATTCACAATCAACCAATCGATACGTGTCTTTTTTTAACCGTGAGGCAGCTTAATAGGAAAGAAATGCTTTTTAGAAAGAGTACATATGAATATCTGTCACTTCCCTATAGCCACTCAAGGGTACAATAACTTTGTATGAGTACATTCATTCATCGAAACAAATACGAAAAACTGCTTCAATATGAAATTTAACATTTGTCAATTAATTTTTATGTTTACGATCTAATCGATGAGATAAAAAAAGAAATACCGCCATCTATTGCATTGCTTATTCAATTTTTGACCGTTGTTCTTTAATTTCTCATTATTAGTTTTCTATATAAATAAGATTAATTTACAATAGAACATAAATCTATACAATATTGATTAAAGTAATATGATATTTACTATATGAACTCGATTTAGCTTCATTCTAATTAGTACTTGCCAGCTAGACAGAGAGATACAACGCAGAACTTCGTACATAAGTACATCAGTTCAGGTTGCCATACCATATCAGCACAGAGACGCAACTGTCAGTTCAAATCCAAGAGTGATAGCGCTAGTAGAAGTATTAGCAGCAACGGAGAAGATTAGGAGCGAAGATGTTATTCGAGAAGTATAATTCAGTGAGAGAAAGATAGAGATTATGAGGAATTCTGAAGATTAGAATTTGAGAGAACACAAAGAGTGGATGCACCTGCACCATTGCAAACGATTCTGAGCCATGTCGTTCAAGGTCTCTAACCATTGGTGACTTTCGACTCGCGGACCCCAACCAGATAGCCTACATCTACCAACATGACTAAGTCCACCAGTCAGTGACTTCATGGATTTGTGACATGTTTTGGTCTGGCCACCCCCAACTTTCTTCCAACATACTCCTACATCACAAAAGATAGCTCGTCGCGGCAGTCTGTGGTTAGGCATACGTAACACATGTCCCAACCACCTCAACTGATGAAGTTTCACTACTTCATCTATTGATTTGCCATTCCTACCTAGAACTCGTTTCCCAACAATAGCATTGCTTACTCGGTCGTCCCAGGATACACAAGCAATGCTTCGGAGATACCGATAATCAAAGACTAGTAACCTATGAATGTCCTCTACTTTGATTGGCCATGTTTCGCCTCCGTATCATAAGATGGAGCGAACTGCCGAACAGTACACTCGTCCTTTGGTTAACGGACGGATATCTCGCCTACGCCATAAGTGACGCAAGTTGTCAAAAGCCAATCGAGCCTTCTGTATCCGTGCTGAGATTTCGTCAGTCACCAGGCCATTAGCACTGATGAGGCTCCCCAGATAAATGAAGCGGTCAACACGCTCGACTACTTCACTCCCTATCACTAGTTCAGGTGCCGATGCAACGCAATCTTGAAGCAACATTTTGCATAAGTAACTAATGTTGACTAATAAGTCTGCATCAATAATGGATAGTTATAATAATTCTTATCTATATTGTTTGATTCTTGCTTTTCAATGGTTTACAATATTTTCTATGAATATGTATCTTAGAACATGTATAATACATTCTCCTCTCTTTTCAGTATCTAATTAAAAATGGAGCATGTTTAATGCAAGAAAATAAATATGGTGAAACACCATTAGAATTAATTCGTCCACGTGCAGCTGCATTGATTGCTCCATTAGCACAAGCTTCAGGACATGATTTATCTCATCGTCGACCATTTCGTGATACAAGTTGGATCGGTACAAAAACACGTGCACGAGATGCTACTTTATATCGTCTTGAAGGTGAATCTTGGGATCCTCGGGAAGTTGAATTAACCGGTGCTTTAGCTGACAATCATGGTGCTGAAGTATTGAAAGGTTCATTCAGACGATGTCCTGTAGTTGTTAAAATGTTAAAACTACGAAATTGTTCAACAAGACAGGTTAGACTAGTTTTTTTCCATACTTAGACGTTTTACTTACTTTTTCATATTTTGTTAAATGTATAACTAATGTTATCCAAACTTTACCTTGTGCTTTAAACTCGTATCTGTCCGTCTATACGTGAGACATGATCTTACTTGGAATAGGGTGGCTTTATAGTTCAGGTGAACAATTTTAATAGTACAACACATATACGTGAACAATAGTGTTGTTTTCGATTAGATCGTCATCAGGATTTACTCTAATATACGTGAATATTTATGTAAAAATGTTAAACCAGTCAAGGCAGTTCGAGTCAATAATCACAATGAAATGACATAGATAGGAAGGATAGTAGGAAGACAGGTGTACTGATAGTAGTAGGAAAATAAAATACGATAACAAAAGTTCTATCAATAGGAGGTCAGACGTCTATAAATAGACTTAAAATAATCATTACAAAACATTAAAACCATTACGTATCAAGAAGAATGTACATAATTAGATAGTGAAGAATGTAAACGGAAAGAGGCAGAAAATTACCAACAAATACAGGATGTGAAAATAATGCTAATAATAACAAAATAAAATTTAAACCAAAAATTTTAACAGTATCGCATTCCTTGAACTGTTTAGTTGCATTCTAAAATATTGATCATCAGAGGTGGGATGAACCTCTTATGTAGCAGAAATCGATTATGCTGTTTAACAATAATAGTGAAGACTTTACAATTAAACCATCCAATTCAGAATATGCAGCTCCTTACACTTTCAATGTACTCATTATAGGATACATTGTTTCATTTCCTCATAGATTCTGCCCTAACAATTCTCGAATTCTCATCTTGAAGAGATCAAGAGTAATAGTTCTCGACCGAAGCTGTTACCTTGACGTGGTGGTCGGGCTTGCATATCGTGATGGCCCAACCGAGATGTATTGGGTGGAACATGTGTTCCTGAAGGTTCTACCATGCCAGGCAGGTTGATTGGAGAATGATGAGACTAAAAGCAGCTACTCAAGGTCTGAGGGCGAAGTCGTACTACTGACTGCAGAGGGGTGTGACAGCAGTAAGATGTTTCCCTTGGACAACCAGCATCTTCAGCGATGCTGCCTTCTCACAAGGAAGGAAGGGTTAGAAAAGGTCGACCCTAAAAATGTCACACCTCACCCTACCTCACGGATTTCCGTCTCCTTGGGTAAGGGTGCCCACTAAGGGCTTTCAAGAGCGGAGCTAACACTCAAAAAACTTTTCATAAAAGGGCCTTGTGTGACCGGCCTCAAGCACTTGTCCGCTGGGCTCTGCGGTCACGCTCTCAGGTCTCCAAGACCAACACTAATCTATCTTCCTTTTCAGGTCCCTCAAGAAACAACCTTCCACGGTATGGGCAGCCGGGAAGTGATAACCGCCCTCATACACGTAAAGAGCAATAGTTTGAGCGGAATAACATGAATTCATTTTATTTGGTTTGATGTTCGTAAGCAATGCACAATCTGTAATATTTGAAATCATAATTATGAAATGGATTGGAATTCTTTACATGAACGAGTTTAGTTGAAAGTATGGAGAGAGTGTAAATATATACCTTATACAGAAGAACATTTTAGAACATTGATAATGGCAAAAGTTTGAAGTGCTAGAAACAAGTGATTACGTAATGAATAAACTCTAATAATAAGTAAGAACAAAATGGGTTAACTTTAGTGAGTTGAAATAAAATTACTGATCTAGTAGAAGGTCGAAAGGCGAATTCTCATACGCACTGTTGTTAAAGTAAATTACAGATGTCAATAGCCTCATTTGATTTAAGCTTACAATTTATTGTATCAACCAATACACTTTTGTGACCTTCATTTTATAAGCAGTAATCATTTTATGGTTTCATCTTACATAAGTGTTTTTGCGAAGAAATTGTTGGGGACGTTAGATCCACAAAACTCATTTGGAAAGGGTCCTAATTTTGGATTTGTTTATGTTTTCGTGCATAAGTCGCTTAGTTGACCACGAGCTTACATTTCCCACTCGGAGAATCCTTGACTATTATTGGTTGATGGATTATTTTAGTACGCTATTTTGTGGCTATAATACTGCTACGTAGCTGTTCAGATCCTACTGATGTCCGAATTCAAATATTGCAATATGACCCAAATACTATTCCCAATCTCCTATATATCAGAACACAACGCCGTTAGATGAAGTTGTTTAATGGGTCCAGCACAGTAGAGGGGAAGGCAGGAAGGTACGGATTACAAAGATTTACAGATACTGCGTCTAGGAAAGAGTATCGAAGTCTGTTACATTGACAGTTAAGACGACCAATAGGAAAGAATATTTGAAATGACATTGACAGTCCGGACGACCAATAAGAAACAACATTGGAGTACGTGACATTGATATCTAGGACGACCATAAAATTAACCAGTAGGAATTAACCAATAGGAATTGACCAATAATTCTTTTAGGATATTGGATGAATATCCTAACAGTGGCTCTCCCAAGGGCGTTGCTACCATTGTGTAAATAAGCTGAATTTGTTTGATTTTAGAATACATCCTCTACTCCTTATCAAGACTTCTTGATTTAGTAAGTCGGTGCTGGAACAACGTATTAGAATAGCCCATCGTGTCACTGCATCATTGATCTGCGCTCCGTTTATTCAGTAAGGTGAACTCGTAATAGCAATCAGGCATATCAGTTGACGAGTATATCGAAATTGATGATTAAAAATGCACAGAACATTCTTTGTATTGTTCCCATTTGATGACCATATATCATAGTTGTATCGAGTATTAGATTTTATAACTGAGTTGTTTGTACAGTGGTTAATAATCCTGTATCTATCATAACCCACCATAATTCATAATAACTAAATGAGTATATATATGTATATAGGAGTGATCAGGATGTCTTATTCATTTGTTCAAGGTGTGATTAACGGCTTGTCGATTTGGCTATATTCAGTTTCGTGACTTCATTCATTTCATTCATCCTGGAATTTTCATGCATATTTTAACAAGATGGTATCTGGTGTTTCAAAGTTCTACAAATCATTGTGATAGTTTGACCGTCTTTCGAAAAAGTTGGTAATCTCAATTTAAGATTAAACAACTTTAAAAGGCTACAACTCAGTTCATTTTGTTGTGAAGTTATAGTATTACAAATATACCTGTTAGAATTGAGATAGTCGCTCTCAGTTCTTCAAACGAAATTTAGTCAATCAGTCATCATCAACCTAGAGCCTGGTACGTATGTGTTTCGGCTCAAGTTCCCACTACCATATTAGCACAATGAGATAAAAACTACAGTAGAAGTGGAATGTTAGGAAACAGAAATTCTACGTTCAGCATACTTAATCTGATTCATGGTATCTCTCAAAGTATTTCAAAGTTTTATTTCTGTAATACTTCAACGTAAATTACTCATTATTTACAATTTCATTGCATATATAGAACTTATTAGTATTGAAAATCTCTTATTTGCTATGTTCAGATGGTTAATAATGAAGTCTTTCCCACATTCAGATTATATTTTTATTAGGTTCAAAGTGTTTTTATGATGAAGCGTAATAAAATGCGTTATTTATATCTCAGGATAAATACAATCTCATAATTTTTTTCCATCTCCCATCTATATAACTCATAGGCACGTGATTTCAAGGATGAATTTCCCAAGCTTCGTATCTTTAATCATCCTAATATACTACCAGTATTGGCTATCTTTACTGCTACGCCACGTTTATGCCTTGTCAGTGATTTTATGCAATATGGGAGTCTTTTTGATGTTTTACACCAACCAGCTGAAGTCAATATGCAACATGGTGCAACTCAGATAAGTCATCGACAAGCTTTAAGATTTGCTGTTGACATAGCTAAAGGCATGGAATTTCTACATTCACCTGAATTGAAAGTACCCAATTTTCGTTTAAATTCTAAACATGTGATGGTAGGTTTCATTTCATTCTGCTGAAATTTTTTGTTTAAGAATTTATGTTCGTACTACTTATTATTATTTAGTAGTATTGTACAATATCATTAGTGTTTTCATTACAGATGATCCGTTCACGTTGTTCATCATGGATTTGATAAAAACGGTTAATTTTACTAGACATATATATACATAAAACAATAAATTAATTGATTTTGGATTATATTTACCAATATTACATTTCTGTTATTTTTACTTCTCTATTTAATAGACATTGTTATCCTCGTAAGTTATATTCCTAAACTTAAATTATAAGAATTAACACCATCTGAATCTTGCTGTCGGTCTTGGGCTCGAGTCTGGGAATAAACACCAACTTTGAGGTACACGGGAACATTCAACTGACAAGTTCCAACTAACACTAAATGCACGTCGTGGATTCCATTTCTAGCCACTATCTATCTCTACCATCTAATATGTTAGAAATTTCTATCGTTTGAACTTGAACAACCATCACATAACTAATTATCATCATTGGTAAGAAATGCCAATCGGTAGTCAGATAGAAAATGTATTAGTAATCAGAGAGAGAAAAGATATACAGCATGATTGCGTAATTGAATAATTTGATATATGAAGTAGAGGTAGATAGATATAACTCAACAATTCTGAGTAATAATAATAAACAAATTTCAATCTCCTTTTTTTAAATGTATAACAGAAGCGATTAATACTCAAGCTTGATAATCCTAGTCTATGCGTTTGATGGGAATTTATGACGCAATCATCTGTTTTGTTGGTTTGATTAAAACTCAATAGATTATTTTATCTGGTTGATTAAATCGTTTCTACATTATGCATATTATTATTTAGACTGTTTATTTAATGTAGTCTTTTACTCTGTAACTTTTAATGTGATTGCTATGCTTTTTATATTTGTTCATCTTACTAAGGATTACTAATACTGATATCAATCTTACTGATTTAATATGACTAGCTATGTTGTCTATCTCATTATAAGTTACTTTGATGAAGTGTTGAAACTTCATCGGTTGAGGTGGTTGAGGCATGTGTTACGTATGCCTAACCACCGACTGCCTCGAAGAGCTTTGTTTTGTAGTGTAGATATAGGTTGGAAGAAAGTTAGGGGCGGCCAAACCAAAACATGGCAGAAATCCATGAAGTCATTGACAAGTGGAGTGAGTCATGTCGGTAGTTGTCGACTACCTGGTTGGGGTCCGCGAGATGATAATAATCGATGGTTAGATACCCTGAATGACATGGCTCAAAACCGTTTGCAATGGCACCGGTGCATTTATTCTCTGTGTTCTCTGAAATCCTAATTTTCTGGATTCTTCAACACCTCTAGTTTTGACTTTATCAACTTGTCTCGCCGAATCGTACTTCTTGAATGATATCTTCTAATCCTAACCTCTTCGATTACTTCTAATACCTTTACTACCTCTTCTACTATTGGATTTGAATTGACAATTACATATCTGTGCTGTGGTATGGAGACATGAACTGATGTACTTACGTACGAAGTTCTACGTTGCATCTGACTGACTCTTGAATAATATCTTCGAACCATAATCTCTCCGATTACTGCTAACACTTCTACCACCTCTACTAATATGGGATTTGAAGAGAAAATTGCATCTCTTTGCTGTTGTGGTATGACATCTTGGACTGACGTACGTACGTACGTAAGTACGAAGTTCTATGTTGTTGTTGACTGACTGACTGCTTTGATTGAATATTATTCTAACATCCTAACGATGTATTTTTAATGAATAGGAGTTTAAAGCAGGCAATCATTTAGTTTCTAGAGTTGTGAATACATATAATTTCTGAGCAGAAATAAATAAAAATAAAGATTTTGATTTCAACTTTACATTGACTAGATATGAAAGGTTGTATTTTATTTAAGAGTTTTAAGGATAGTCGAATTTCCAGTGATTGGTTTGTTCTAAAGGAGCTTTTATTTGGCGCCATCTTTTAGCTTCATGTACAGTACTTTTTTTCACTTTTACCAGTTTTATTAATATGAGTTTATATCATAGGGTTTATCGTACAAGGATGGTGGTACATTTCTATAGGGATCTACTTCTTAACTCACTACAGAGCATCAATAACTAATAATGTACAATAATAATATACAATGACATGGCTTAAAACCGTTTGCATTGCCGCTGGTGCATTCATTCTCTATGTGTTCTCTCAAATCCTAATCTTCTGGATTCTTCAACACCTCTAGTTTTTACTTTCTAAACTTATCTCATTGAATCATACTTCTTGAATAATATCTTCTAATCCTAACCTCTCCGATTACTTCTAATACCTTAACTACCTCTACTTCTATTGGATTTGAATTGACAATTACATATCTGTGCTGTGGTATGGAGACATGAACTGATGTACTTACGTACAAAGTTCTACATTGCATCTGACTGACTGAATATACAATATTCCACTGAAATTTAACCCTCCCTTTAGAATGATCAATATTAAGGATATAATTTGAAGTTGAAAATTTTAGGATTCACAATTGTGCCGGTTAAATACTCTCATAATATTCAAAAAAATATATGAGATTCATTTGTTAATCCTATCTCTTGAAGAAATCTTGATAACTTAAAATATATTGACAGAACAAAAGTGAAAATTCTTACTTTTTTTGGTCGATACGTATCATGGATGACCAGCCTTTATGATCACCACTAACACTGTCACTAACTTTAACTTCTATAGGATTTGTTCTGACAATTTCATTTTGACTGTGCTAATGAGGTGTGGTAACTTGAACCTATGTACAAATGTATGACAGGTTATGAGTTATGTATAAATGAAGATCAAACTAAATATTCAATCATTCCACAGCTGATGTTTATGGAAACTGGTGAATTAATATAGAGTTGTTCTGAATGATAAAACTGTTGGGGACGTTAGATCCCTTGAACTCACTTGGAAAAGGTCCTAATTTTGTTATATTTATTCCGAAATTTCGAATTTTGTTTTCGTGCCAAAGATGCTTATTTTAACCTTCAGCTTGTATTTCCCACTCGGGAAATCCTTGACTGTCATTGGTTGACGAATTATTTTAGTACGCTATTTTGTGGCTCTCACCATGGACGTCTTATCATTATATAAATAAGCTTGAGTTGTGTGCTTGTTGACTTCGTACTTTCTGGTTGCCTGTGGACTACATTCCCTACATCTTATCGAGATTTCTTCCTCTAGTTATTGGGTCCTGGGGACGATCGGATTCGAGTAGCCTATCGTGTCACTGAATCATTGGTCTTCGTTCCGTCTACTGGGTAAAGTGAACTCATAATAATTTCGAGCATATCACAAGCGAAATATTATCAGTAGTAGTTCAATAGTATCTATCACTAACTTCTTTAAGTTCACTGGTTTTTTCACATTTTCTTGGTAGCCTTTATTCTAGATTGACAATGTTTGTCTGGGTGTAAAGCATCTCTTATGTTCTTGAAAATTTTTGACTAATCCCGGTTGTTTCATATGCAGTATCACCAGAATCTAGACAATACTGAAGTCCAATAACGTGTGTTCGATCATCATGGTCTGTGTTATGTTATCTTTGAATCAACTTAAGTGACAGACATGTTTTACGTATAAGATATCTAAATAGCTTTCATAAGGAACAGTGTTTGTTTTCTTTTTGATACAGACAGAGAAATGATTCTTTATTACATAACTCTTTCAAGTGAAAAATTATTTGCATGCCCGGTATTTATTTATTGTTGCATTAAAACTCTTTTGGTTTGAGTCACAAAGGTCATATAACTTTATAGTTTAGAACATTGAATCTGTTTCAGATTTTAACTCAATATTTTGTTGTATAATTATAAACACGACTAGTTATTTTCTAATATGAATTTTGATCTCCTATAATCTCTATGATTTTGAATGTGTTTTTTTCTCTTTTTCCATTTTTCCACATGACTTAATAAATTGAATCTGTTTTTTTATGGTCATCTGTTCAAGAAACTTAGGTCTAGGGTTTCTTGTCGATTGCCTCCAGCTGGCGAACACATGAATATTGTGTAATTTAATATCGAGCTACTCAGACTTACTCCTGATATTTTTAAGGATGGTGGTAGAATCTAGGAACTACGCGTTATCCATTTGACTGGTCTCAATCGCTGATTGTCCCGATTTATAAGACTATCCTAAGCAACGATGCAAACATGTTCGGGATGCGGTTCTCACCCTCGAAATGCAAAATGTTGCTTCAGGATTGACTTGTATCGACACCTGAACTAGTGATAGGGAGTGAAGTAGTCGAACGTGTAGACCGCTTCACTTATCTTGGGAGTCTCATCAGTGTCTCATCACGGATACAGAAAGCTCGATTTGCTTATGCCAAGCTGCATCACTTATGGCGTAGGCGAGATATCCGTTTGCTGACTAAAGGAAGAGTGTACTGTGCAGTAGTTCGCTCCGTCCTACTTTATGAGTGTGAAACATGGCCAGTTAGAGTAGAAGATATTCACAGGTTGCTGGTTTCCGATCATAGGTGTCTCCGAAGCATTGCTTGTGTATCATGGGACAACTGAGTAAGCAATGGTGTTGTTAGGAAACGGGTCCTGGGTAAGGATGGTAGGTCAACAGCTGAAGTAGTTAATCTTCATCATTTGAGGTGGTTGGGACATGTGTTACGAATGCACAACCACCGACTGCCTCGTCGAGCAATGTTTTGCGATATAGGAATAGGTTGGAAGAAAGCCAGGGGCTGCCAAACCGAAACATGGCAGAAATGCATTAAGTCACTAACAAGTGGACTTAGTCATGTTGGTAGATGTAGGCTATCTGGTTGGGGTCCGCGAGACGAAAGTCACCGATGGTTAGAGACGTTGAACGACATGGCTCAGAATCGTTTAGAATGGCGCAGGTGATCCATTCTTTGTGTTCTCTCTAATTCTAATCTTCAGAATTCCTCATCATCTCTCTCTCTTTCTAAAATTATCTTACTGAATTACACTTATTGAATGATT